CTGTGAGAAAGAAAGATCTCTTATCCTTTGAGACGACATGGAGGGACCTGGAAAGTATTATCCTAAGTGAAACAAGCCAAGCAAAAAAAGACAAATACCACATGATCTCACTTATATATGGAATATAATGAATATAACAGTCTGAGGAATAGGGAAGACCCAGAAACACAGAAGTAGGGTACAGACTAACAACCCTCAGAAGAGGTGGGAAGTGATAAACCACAGAACTTATATGCATGTATGCATAACCAATGGACATGGACAACAAAGTCGGGGACGGGGGGGCTGGGAGGGATGGGGAGGAGGGTGTCAATGGGGTAAAAAAGTTGAAACATCTGTAACAAAAATAAAATTAAGAAAAAAAAAATACTTGACTTCTAAATTACCATTCTCTATGTAATTCCATTAGGAAGCCTTTGTTCACTCTAAAACACTGATTTTCAACCTGTGTGTCAGAAGAATTTTTAAAGTATGCAATACCTGACTATTTAGTCGGGGGCACCAACCTCTTTTCCCTAATAGTGTAAAGAATGACAACAGCCAACACAACAATAGCTGTTCAGGTTCAATGAATCAAAATTATACCTATTTTTTTGGTCAGATTGGCAAATATATATATTTTCTGGTGTGCTTCAGAATTTTAATAATTAGTTTTTGTGTGTCATTACATGTATAGGGTTGAAAATCAATGTTCTAAATAGTAATAATTACAGCCCAACCTGTGTGGCTCCATGGTTGAGCATCGTCAACTCATGCACCAAGAGGTTGCTGGTTCGATTCCCAGTCAGGGCACATGCCCAGGTTGTGGGGGCATGCATCTCTCTTATCAATGTTTCTGTCTCTGTCTCTCACACCAATGAAAAAAAAGAAATTTTTTTAAATAGTGATAATTGCAGACTACTACCACAGGCATACCTTGTTTTATTGCATTTCACTTCATCGTGCTATGCAGGTCACGATTTTTATAAACTGAAGGTTTGTGGTAGCCTTGCATCAAGGAAGTCTATCAATGCAATTTTTCCAACTGCATTTGCTCACTTCGTGTCTGTGTCACATTTTGGTCAGTCTTGCAATATTTCAAACTCTTTTCATTATTATTATTATTTGTATGGTGATCTGTGATCAGTGATCTTTGATGTTACTATTATAATTGTTTTGGGGGTGCCATGAAACACACATGTAAGATAGCAAACTTAATAGATAAATGTTGTGTGTGTTCTGACTGCTGTACCGACCATCCATTCCCCCATCTTTGTTCCTCTCCTCAGGCCATCTTATTCCTTAAGACATAAAAATATTGAGCCCTGGCCAGTTTGGCTCAGTGGTTAGAGCCTCGGCCTGAGGACCAGAGAGGCCCGGGTTCGGTTCCCACTAAGGGCACATATCTTGGATGCAGTTTGTCCCTGACCCCGGTTGGAGTCATGTGGGTGGCAGCCAGTTGATGTGTCTCTCTCACATCGATGTTTCTCTCTCTCTCTATCTCTTCCCCCCTCTCTCCCTCCCACTCTATCTGAAGATAAATGCAAAAAATGTCCTCAGGTGAGGATAAAAAAAAAAAGACATAAAATATTAAAATTAGGCCAATTAATAATCCCAGAATAGCCTCTAAGTGTTCAAGTGAAAGGAAGAGTCACTTGTTTCTCAGTTTAAATCAAAAGCTACAAATGCTTCAACAAATGCTTCAGCTTAGTGAAGGCTTGTCAAAATTGTAGATAGATCAAAAGCTGAGAGAAGCAGAAAGCTAGGCTTCTTGCACCAAACTGTTAACCACGATATGAATGCAAAGGAAGTTTCTGAAGGAAATTAAAAGAGCTACTCCAGTAAACATACCAATGATACGAGAGTGAAACATTCTTATTGCTGATTTGCAGGAAGTTGTAGTGGTCTGGACAGAGGATCAAACAGACCAAACATCCCTTAATAAGCCAACGCCTGATACAGAGCAAGGCCCTAACTCTCCTTCCATGAAGGCTGAGAGAAGTGAGGATGCTGCAGAAGAAAAGTTTGAAGCTGGCGGTGGTTGGCTTATGAGGGTTAAGAAGAAAAGCCATCTCCAAAACATAAAGGCACAAGTGTAGTAGTAAGTGCTGATGTAGAAGTTGCAGCAAGTTACCCAGAAACTCTAGCTAAGATAATTAATGAAGGTGGCTACACTAAATAGATTTTCAGTGTAAACAAAACAGCTTTATATTGGAAGGAGATGCCATCTAGAACTTTCCTAGATAGAGAGAAATAAATTCCTGGCTTCAAAGCTTCAAAGGACAGGCTGATTATCTTGTTAGGGGCTAATACAGCTGGTGACTTTAAATTGAAACCAATGCTTGTTCACCATCTGAAAATCCTAAAACCCTTAAGAATTGTGCTAAATCTACTCTTCCCGTGCTTTATAAATGGAACAACAAAGCCTGGATAATAGCACAACTGTTTACAACACGGTTTACTGAATATTTTAAGCCCAATTTTACTGTCGAGACCTACTGCTCAGAAAAAAGATTCCTTTCAAAATATTACTGCTCACCGACAGTGCACCTGGTCTCCCAAGAGCTCTGATGGAGTTGTACAGTGAAATTAGTGTTGTTTTCATGCTTGCTGATACAACATACAACATCCATTCTGCAGCCCACAAATCAAGGAATAATTATTTAAGAAATATATTTTCTGAAGGTATAGTTGCCATATATTGTAATTCCTCTGATGGATCTGGGCAAAGTAAATTGAAAACCTTCTGGAAAGGATTCCCCATTCTAGATGGTGTTAAGAACGTTTGTAATTCATGAGAAGAGGTCAAAATATCAACATTAGCAGGAGTTGGGAAAAATCTGATTCCAGCCCTCACGGAGGACTTTGAGGAGTTCAAGACTTCAGTGGAGAAAGTAAACTGCAGATGTGGTGGAAACAGCAAGAGAACTAGAGTTAGAAGTGGAGCCTGAAGATGTGACTGAGCTGCCGCAACCTCACCATAAAACCTGAATGGATGAGAAGGAGCTTCTTATGGATGAGCAAGGAAAGTGGTTTCTTGGGATGGAATCTACTCCTGAAAATGCTGTGAAGACTGTTGAAATGACAATAGAGTATTTAGAATATTACATAAACTTAGTTGATAAAGCAGCAGGGTTTGAGAGGACTGGGTTCAATTTTGAAAGAAGTTCTACTGTGGGTAAGATGAAATCAAACAGCACTGCATGCTGCAGAAAAAGTGTTCATGAAACAAAGAGGCAATTGATGTGGCAAACTTCACTGTTGTCTTACTTTGAGAAACTACCACAGTCACCTAACCTTCAGCAACCACCACCCTGATCAATCATTAGCCTTTGACATCAAGGCAAGACCCTCCACCAGCAAAAAGATAAAAACTTGCTAAAGGCTCCCATTAGGTTAGCATTTTTTAGCAATCAAGTATTTTTTAATTAAAATATTTTTTAGGTATAAAGTATTTTAGACATAATGCTATTCCATACTTAATACACTGTAGCATAGTGTAAACATAATTTTACATGCTCTGGGAAACCAAAAAATTTGTGTCGAGATACTCAGTTTATTGCAGTGGTCTGAAACCAAACCTATAATAGTTCTGAGGTATGACCATACTCTTCAAGAATAAAATCTATTCACTCAGATCTTTACTTTTTTAAAGGTTTTTTCTTAAATCCCTGACAGTATTTAGCAAAATAAGATTTTGCATAAGTTGTAGCTTAAAAATAAAGATTTTAAAATGACATTTTTAAAGATTCTCTTTCTCTCTGTTCCTTCTCTCACCCCCACATATGTACACACACACACATGCACACACACACACACAGAGTCAATATTATAAGTAAGCAATACAGTGTGATGATCTTAGAGACTCTAAAAAATTAAATCTGTCCCCCAAAATTCTTGGTGTTTCAAATCCCACAATATGAATTTCATTTTTGGCTTTAAGCCAAACAGTGCTTTATCTCTTACTAAAATTTTTCACATTAACTTATAACAATTCTCTATAATTTGAATAAATATATCAAAAAAGGCATCTGGTGGGTGCCTTTGTATGTATTTCATTCCAAGTTCTGAAGGAACCCAAAATTTTCAGCTCATTGGCTACTGAATGTGAGCATCACAAATTTAAGTTCTGCTGGGCTGGTGTGGCTCAGTAGCTGAGCGTCAACCCATGCACCAGGAGGTCGCTGGTTCGATTCCTGGTCAGGGCACATGCCCAGGTTGTGGGCCAAATCCCCTGTTGGGGGACATGCAGGAGGTGGCCAACAGATGTTCTCTCTCATTAATGTTTCTATGTCTCTCTCCTCTCCCTTCCTCTTTCTCTAAAATCAATAAAGAAAAAAAAATTTTTAAAAAGTCTCTAAAAAATAAAGAGAACAGATTCCAGCTTTAACTATGTCAGAAAAACTTTCAAGTATAATATAAATAATATAAGAACTTGTATGAACACATTATCAGAAAAATTCGTGAAAATATTGTTAAGAAACTAGCCCTGGCTGGTTTGGCTCAGTGGTTAGTCGGCACAAGCACCAATGAGTCATGGGTTTGATTCCAGTCAAGGGCATGTACCTCAGTTGCAGTTAGGTCCCGGCCCTGGTCAGGGATGTGTGAGGCAACCAATGGATGTGTCTCTCACGTTGATGTTTCTTCCTTTCTCTCTCTCTCTATCTCCCCCCTCCTACTCTATCTGAAGATAAATGGAAACATATCCTCCGGTGAGGATTACAAAATAAAAAATGGAAAATGATAAACTTGGTTATAAAAGAACTTTTAAAAAGAAATTCCTTAAATCAGGGCATCACACTTTTGGGTAAACAGTGATGATGGTACCTCTTTATTAGATTTTTCTAGAAAACCCTTACTTAATCTGGGGGGGAAATGTGATTAAAGTAATAGTATTAGTTACAGTAGTCAAGAGAACCCATTTGTATATGATTAAAAACTCAATTATTAAAATCAAAATAACTTAGTAAAAAATATATTTTAAATATATAAATGTAAAGGTAACTTTTTACAATACTTACTTTAATTTCTGGTTGAAACCAACTCTGTGTCTTTGTGTCAAATACATGAACATCATTATGCCATCCCCAGAATATCTGTTCTTCCTAAAACAGAAAATTTTTAAATATTTAAAAGATTTTATAACTTTTACATTATTGTTATAGTTTCATTGATATTTACTGATGAAATAATAAACACTTTTACAAAAATATAGTCATCACCATATTCATACAGCTAATGCACACACCGGTGGTTTACAAAGTGTGGTCCCCAGATCAGAGCAGCATTACCAAGCAACTTTTCTTCTCATAGTATAGCTTGCAGTGTGCATTATTTACTTAATAATTTTCCCATTTCCTCAAAGGATTGTCTCTTTTAAAATTGCAGAAGACAGAACTGGCCAGTGTGGTTCAAATGGTTAGGTGTCATCCCATGCACCCAAAGGTTGCCAGTTAAATTCCAGATCAGGACATATCAGGTTGCTGGCTGGATCTGCAGTAGGGGGCGTGCAGGAGGCGGCTGATCAATGTTCATCTCTCTCTCCTTCTTCCTTTCTCTCTCTCTGAAAATCAATTTTAAAAAAACTAAAAAACATTAAAAATAAAAATAAAATTGCAGAGGGCAGAATGATATTTATATTTTGAAATCTGTTTTTGTAAGGTAGATGCTCAACCCAGTCAATGTGGCTCAGTGGACTGAGCATTGTCCCGTGGACTGAGAGGTTCCAGTTCAATTCCCAGTCAGGGTCCATGTCAGGGTTGTGGGCTCAATTCTCAGTAGGAGGTGTGCAGGAGGCAGCCGATTGATGTTTCTTTCTCACATCAATGTTTCTATTTCTCTCCCCCTTCTTCTCTCTTTAAAAAAAAATCAACAAAAACATATTTTAAATAAATAAATAAAAATAAAGTACATGCTCAGAATCCCTAATCTTTGCTATTAGAGACTTTAGGGGACTGTGGTTCCTCTTATGAAAAAAGTCCAAGTCAGTTCTTTAACCAAGCAATTTGGTCTTATAAGTCAAACTAAGGCTCCCTTTCCTCTTTGTCTTCCAAGAGACAAAACTGTCAGCGAGGCAAAGGTTTAATAGTTATATTGTATTTAGAACCTTCCAGATTATTAAAATCTTCTATCACAGCTTACCTCTATGCCAAATTTATTTTACGTCAAAAACATATCTCTTTTGTCAGAACTTGTCAAACTAAAATTTTTGCTTAGTTTAGGATCTAAACCAAAAAAATCCGCTGTACACTAAAAATGTCAGGTTATGATCATTAGCCTAACTGTACTAGGAAAGAAAAAAAATTAGCAATTTCAGTGATGAGTAAAAATATAAACAATGGGAAGTTATATTTCTGAACATTATCAGTAAGACTATAAGTAACAAAGCTTTAAAAATATTTCATATTAAAAGCTAAAAAATCATGTAAATACATAGAGAATTTTAACAATACCCATGTACAAATAGATATACACAAAATGTTCATATACATTAATAATGTACAATAATAAGGTATGGTAGTAAAAGATAAAACTGAAGAGTTACTGTGTATCTTGATGGTGGATAAATGGTATTTATTGATTTATTTATTTATTTATTTATTTATTTATTTATTTATTTATTTATTTATTTTTGGTACGTGCCCCTAGCGGGGGCCGAACCCAGGACTCTCTGGGCCGCAGGCCGACGCTCAACTGCTGAGCCAAACTGGCCAGGGCTGATAAATGGTTTGTAAAGTTATCTTTTAGCCCTAGCCGGTTTGGCTCAGTCAGTGGTTAAAGCATTGGCCTGCGGACCAGTGACTTTCAGGTTTGATTTCAGTCAAGGGCATGTACCTCGGTTGCAGTCCATCCCCGGCCCTGGTCGGGGCCCTGCAGGAGGCAACCAGTCGATGTATCCCTCTCACGTCAATGTTTCTCTCTCTCTTCCTCTCTCCCACCCTATCTGAAGATACACAGAAAAATATCCTACGGTAAGGATTTTTTAAAAAGTTGTCTTTTAAAATATTTCATTTTTTTAAGTTATGACTTCTTTCATTAATAACAGTAGATTCTCTAACCCGTAAGAATCAGTACTAACTTACTATGATTAGATCTAGTATACATATCTAAAAGCAGGTGTATGTCAGCAGTAGTCATTCTGGTTGCCATTGAACAAAGTTCTTCTCAGTTGTGCTAAAGCCTCTACTTGTCTAACAGAAGCAGGTATAAGTGATTGACTATGTGAGAAAAGAAATTACTCCCCCAGTAGCCATGAATGTGAAAGAACATCCTTTAATTTAAACCAAATTCAAAAGAGAGAAAACACATTTCTTCATAGTGTCAATTATAGCAAATTAAAATGAGAAAAAGTGGGATCATTATTTCTAAAATCTTTAAGATAATACTAAATTAGAGGAAAATGTAGACAGTGATTACTCTCTTACCCAAGATGCATCATGAACATCAAAACAGTCTTGGAGTTCATTGTGTCTCCTACACCCATAGCCACCAAAATATATTAATCTGAAAAACAAATACAAAAGGACACACTTTAGAAGTTCTACTTCCACTCTGTTCACAGACAATTGAATGAGATCATTTCTCTCACCCTAACAACCTAAACAAGCCAGACACAGTCATGTGCCATATAAAGATGTTTCAGTCAATGACAGACTGCATGTATGACAGTGGTTCCATAAGGTTATAAGGGGGCTGACATTTTTCTTTCACCTACTGACGTCACAGCCATGATAAAGTTGTTGTGCAGTGTATTGCTCATGTGTTTGTAGCCCATACAATCATATACAGTACATAACACTTGATAGTAACAAACAACTATAGTACTGGTTTATGTACTTACTATACTATACTTTCTATCATTATTTTAGAGTGTACCCTTTCTACTTACTAAAAAAATTTGCTGTGAAATGGTATGCCAGCCATACTTCATACATCTTGTGTTTACCTAGTCTCTTAATTGCATCACTGTCTCTTGTGCTTGATGTAATCTCATGTTTTCTGCACAGAAACATTCCTAGGAGCAATAAGCTATATCATATAGCCTATGTGTGTGGTAGGCTATTCCATCTAGGTTTGTGTAAATACGGTCTATGACGTTCATACAATGACAAAATGGCTTAACAACACATTTCTCAGAATGTATTCCTATCATTAAGTGGTAAATGATTGTAAACTACAAAACCATAGTTTTAAAAAATCAAAGTGCTTTTGACTAAATGAACCAATTCAAGAAAGTAATGAGCTCTGAACATGCAAGAAGAGACCGACAGCTGCTTTCATCCTGGTGTAATAGCAAGAGGAGGAAGAATCCAACATAGATAGGGTTTGTAAAAGAAATGACCCAGATTTTTAACAGCTACAGGTGGGCTGGCATAGCATATTAGAATCTTAAGAAATTCAGGCACAGCCCTGGCCAGTTTGGCTCAGCGGTTAGAGCGTCGACCTGCGGTCTGGAGAGACCCGGGTTCGGTTCCCGCTAAGGGCATGTGCTTCGGTTGCAGTTTGTCCCCAGCCCTGGTTGGTCGTGCGGGTGGCAGCCACTCGATGTGTTCCTTTCACGTCGATGTTTCTCTCTCTCTCTCCCTTCCTCTCTCTCCCTCCCATTCTATCTGTACAAAAAAAAAAAAAAAGAAATTCAGGCACAGAGGGAGTTTGACCCCACTCAACAACTCTTTCGCACAGTTTTCAATGAAGGCTCAAGGACAGTAACCAACAGGTAGAAGCAATGAAAAGATGAGCAAACCTCCTTGAAGCAACCTGAGCTTGCAAGGACTGAAGTGTGGGATCAGGGCAGATCTGAAAGCAACACCTTAGAAGCATATGGCATACAGGGTGACTCCTCTAAAAGGCCAAAGGAGGAGGTGCAAGGTTGAAAGAGATCTCCCAAAGTGCAAAAAGCATGAGGTGGGAATGAGGAGCAAAGAGAACTCCCCAGTGACTCACAGACCTACCAATTAAGCTACACAACAGGGAAAGATCTCCCACAGTTCAGAAAGGTGGAAACGCAGTTGTGAGGCTCAGCTGAACATCTCTGGATAATCTCTAGTGTTCAAATTTGCGGCCCTAACAAAGGAAAGTCTTGATCCTGCCCAAACGTTTGAAACTAGTGGTAAAATTGAATCAAACTAAAGTTGCAACACAACCCAAACACAAGTCAACTACAGATTATGCTAATTCAACTCGAACTCCAGCAGCCTAAAAAAAGAAGGGCATCTCCTTTTCTGGTGATAAATATAATTGATTCCAATATTTACTATCCTTTCATAGAGAAAGGGAAAGTGAACAAAGGGAGAAAATCAAGCCTTTGCATCCTCGCATGCATAAATGGATTAAGCACCAACCATCAATGGTTGCCGACAAAGAGAAACAACCAGATATCATGTGCCCCACTAATGGAAATACTCAACCATAAACAGTTTTGCCCCCCTCCAAAACCAACAACCAACAAAAGAGCATGAATCTGATCAAGCTTCTAGAACAAAGTACTAATTTACTGAAAATACAAGGCATAGATGAACATGTTAAAATACACCACAGAAACATACTCAACACAAAGCAGACTGTTGGAAATTCTATAGTTAAGTGACCTGGTTTATTTTTTTTTTTTAATGTTTTTATTAATTTTTTTGTTTTTAAAGGGAGAGAGAGATAGAAACATCCATGTGAGAGAAAGACATCAATTGGCTGCCTCCTGCATGCCACCTACTGGGGATTGAGCCCACAACCAGGCATGTGCCCTGATGGGAAATCAAACCAAGACCTCTCAGTCCATGGGATGATGTTCAATCCACTGAGGCACACTGGTTGGGCTGACCTGGTTTCTTCATCAAATAAATTTCCAAACCAAAACAACAACAAAGATTTAAAGGGACTCTCTAGAATAAAAGCACCTTACGAGACATATAAATCAATTGTAATGAATAGAGCTCAAATGGATCCTCTATTGAATAAATTGTTTGTTAAAATTTATAAAACAAATGGCAAATCTGAATACTGAATATTAAATAATACATGATACTTTCAAGCAAAAAAATGATCAATTAAGGAAACCTTTAAAACAAAAATATAAGAGCTCAGCTAACAGAGTTGATGAACAAAAAAATATGAAGAGGTGAAACAGAATTGGGAAGTTAGGAAAGAAATAGAAAGGAAACAACATATTTGGGAAATGAAGATCAAGTTACAAGGAGCAAAAGACAGAACAGACATCCCAGGACAGATAAAGCACATACACGATAGAAATAAGAAAAGCCACCAAGAGAATAGAATTTGTGAAAAAAATGATAAACAAAGAGAAGAGAGTTAAATATTCATAAGAGAAGTTAGAACAGATGATTAAAAAACATAATTAACAAAAAGTGGTGTTGAATGAAAGGAAAAGGTAGAGGAAAGAAGAGGCTACAATCTAATTTTATTGATACTTAGAGTAGGAAAAAAGAGATATTGTTTAAAGAGAAGGAAAGCTAAAGGTAATATATTAAAGTACAAATGTAGCCCTGGCCGGTTTGGCTCAGCGGTTGGAGCGTCGGCCTGCGGTACAGAGACCCGGGTTCGGTTCCCGCTAAAGGCACGTACCTCGGTTGCAGTTTGTCCCTGGCCCTGGTTGGTCGTGCGGGTGGCAGCCACTCGATGTGTCCCTTTACGTCGATGTTTCTCTCTCTCTCTCTCTTCCTCTCTCTCCCTCCCGCTCTATCTGAACAAAAAATGGAAAAATGTCCTCGGGTGAGGATAAAAAAAAAAATAAATAAAATAAAGTACAAATATATAAATATAAGCACTAGAACTACTGAAGGCCCTACACTATACAATAAAGACAAAAAAAAGTATAAGGATTGTAAAGGAAGGGAAAAAATGACAATGCACAGATATTAATTAGGTACAAATCTACTGCTAAATTATTAGAATAAGAGAATTTAGTAAGGGTGCTGAATTTATATATATATTCTGTTTCTATATACTAGCAACAAACAGAAAATGAACATATTTAAAAGATATAATTTAAAATAGCATGGGGGTTGGGCAAGATGGTTGCAATGTGACAGGAGGTTGAGTGCCCTTGTGCCCAGCCACTAACTGGATTTATAGCTAAAATACTGCGTGGTCAGCTTGGAAAAACAAGAGACGTGTAGCTGATTGGCCATATTTTGTCTAAGGAGCACTGTAGAAACAATGTAGAGACTGGTAAGAGAGGAGGGGTCGGGGAAACAGGGAGCCCTCCTGGAGCTGGTGCTATGCTGCGAGGCCGGAGTGATACTGGCTGCAAAGGTCCCTCCCCTTGAGAGCGAGGGCTTGCATCCCCATGCAGGGGTCTCAAATCCTGAACAACAGAGACTAGAAGGAAAGCCCGTGCAGCATAGGGCAGAGGGATCCAGGGGAACTCTGCCTGGGAGGCTGGGTCCTTACCTTACCGGTGAAAGAACACGCCTAATGTCAGCAGCCCCAGCAGGACAGGTTCACTCTGGGCTCTGACTGCTAGAAAGGCTGGGCCTCAGAGTGTGGCTCCAGAAATAGAAAGAGGCCTGAGAGCTGCACCCAGCAGTGACTTAGAGAGAAGCTCTGCTTTCCTGAAAGGCATTGTATAGCACCCCAGATAATGACTAACCCGTGTGGTGTGGCAAACGGGTAGGGGATTCTCCCACCTCCAGTGTGGGACTGGAACCCCTCCCACCACCTGTAATGCAAGCAGGAACTGCTCCATCCTACGGGCTGGAACTGGCCTCAGGGCAGATTGGAGATATATGACCCACACTGAGAAGAGCTGGGAGCAAGAGCAGAGCTGGGATTCTTGGTCCCGTTTTACTGAGACCAGTCACGTGGGGAGAGAACTCCTGCCCAGGGCTGACTTTGTAACCCCTTCTGCTTGGACCTGTGGCACAAGGGCACCAGGTCCTAGCAAAGCAGGATTTTTATTTTAATTTTTTATTTTTGAATGATATCCCCTGGGAGGCTTATATTGTGGAGACAGATGAGCAACGGACGGGCTTTTGCATTGTGGGGTGGCTGATCTGAGCTCCCCGTGAGATCAGCCTTCCAGTCCCAGGAAGGAGGGGTGGAGCATGTCTATCCCCCCAGCAGGCTGTGAACAGCAACCCCAACAGGAAAGGGTTTGGATCCGTTTTCTGAAGCCCCAGATACCCTCACTGGGCACACACAGTTCCATGGGGATAGGAGAACAGATCAGAGGAGGACATTCCAAGAGTAAGACCCTCAGAGGCTATTATTCTCAGGAACTAGGAGAAAATGCTTAGGCCCCTCCTGTGGGCTGGGAAGATGAGATACTCACTGGAGACTCGATCAATCCCACTGAACCCAGGGCAGCTAAAACTTCTGCAGAAAAGGTGTGGGCTATATCCAACCTGAACCTGCACCAGGCCACATTAGGGGGAACTAGAGTTGGAGGATATGGTAGATACTGAGGAGTTTGACTTTGAAGCAGAGATTAATTTCCCCTCATTGAGTGCCTGATGGCATAATCTCTAAGCAGGGGGATCACTCCACCCTAA